TTATATCCCTTGTTTTTTGTTTTTCATTTTACACCCTTTATTTATCTGTACTCCTTTATAAAACGACATTTATAGTTATTTTGAAATTTTTAAGAGGTGCTACCTATTGAAAGCTTCCATCTGCAAGTCCCAACTACTCTCCTCCCCACTAGAACTTTCATTGAGTATCAGTTATTATGCGTACTGTACATGTCTCAAAGCTCATAATCTACAACACTCACTTCCCGTGTAACCAGTGGCGGATGCATGTTGAAGGGATTGGGGTCCTGGGCCCCCAACAAAATAAATTCTAGAAAGCCTAGTTTTTTTTACTTATAGTTTTTACCTTTATATAATTGGGCCCCCAATAAGATAATCATGAAGATCCCACTACCAAGTCCATAATTCATTTAACCTTCCATTTCCAAGTTCCACCGGTCCATCCCAATTCCCACGAGGCCACGACTTCACCTTCATCCACTCCACGGCTGTTGTGCAGCCACTCCTTCCCGGTTCCTGCTTGGTGCTTGCTGCTTCCGCCTTCCTGCTACCTGCACACAGCACATCGCTACATGCCCCCTACAATATATTTTTCTGCATTCGGCCACTGCATGTAACCACCCTTCTCAGCTTTAGCAAATGATATAAGAACAGTAAAAACCCTTCCTAAAAGCCTCAAAGAAGCTTAAAGAAAGAAATAAATCTATCCATCTAAAACATTCAACTTACAATTCCCTTACCCAAGAAGATATTACGAATGACGCAGCTAATAACAGCGCATATTGTGAAGAGTGCCGTACTCCACCCAACTGAAGCATAAAAAAGAACACGGATGAATTACTCACTCTCTAATCATTTCTATTGTCACTGTTGTATTTTCACGCATTAGAATGTGATGCTTACACCCAGTTTCTTGATTGTTTACTTTGACACGTACTTATCGAGAAGAAAAGAATGACGACATTTACCATCAAAATTCTTACCGTACTCAGAAAAACGCTTTCAAATGGAGCTCTTAACTACAAAGTTGCCAATACCACCCTCATTCAATAGTCATTATGTATATATTTGTATTTTATTTTACTGAGGAGTTGCATTAATTTTTTATTTCATGTTTTATAATAAAACTTTATGTCTCACTACATCGTCTAGGTACATAACTAGGCACAGTTAACAATGTTTAAAGTACTTGAATTTATATCAGTATCTTTAGCAGTGTAACAAAAACCATCTTGTTTTATTGCCATTTTATATATGCAATCCCGTATTGATGACAACAATGTAGAAATGTCTTACATCCCACACGTTACACGAATTCAGATAGTAGTCAATAAAGAATTGAAGATAACTATAGATTGTTAAGGATTGAATCAGAGCCGTTCTTTAGCATGTTAAATGTGAGATTTTGAACAGGGCCTCCAAAATTTTGGGGCCCAAATTTACATGTATTTAGTGTTTTTTATCGACCTGTGTAAAACTATAGTCGAAATTATTTAGGTTCAAACCATTAATTAGTTGGTTTTAGGGTCAAATCATCAATGGTTTAGGTTTAGATTCAGATTGTTAATTGTTTTAGGTTTAGCTCATTTTTATTCTTAACATATATTCTCTGTCATCTCATTTATGCGATGTAATTAAAAATTCTGGATGTAGCAGAGCCTCCAAAAAGATTGGAACGTCCCCGGATTGAATAAGTTTTATTTTATTTACTAATTATCAAATTACGATCGTGCCCCATAATAATGATTTTAAAGAGTTGTATCAAAATCATTGAAATACTGGATATGAGTTGATCTCACGGTTCTCATAGTTTTTAGAGTTCTCAAATGATTATCATTCTCTCTGTACATGGGAATATTCAAATGAGAAGGCTAAATATGACAAGAATGTGGAAAATAACGATTTTTATGTGAATTATTGAAAAAATAATTCAAAGATGCAAATTGAACCCATATGAATAATTATGTAATGTGGGTTCATGTATGTATCCTCAAATGGATTTTTTTTCAGATTTTTTCAGTTATTAAAACCTTCCTTTCGCTCCTTATCACCACATAGCTATCACCAAGATTTCGCAAGTGGCATGATATGCTTAACAAACATCAACCAAGGGGACAAGAAACGAGTAAGGTAATGAGTTCTGGTATATTTTTTAGACAAACATAGAGACTGGGGGTAAAATGGTCATTTCTGACATTCAGACTGTTTATTCAGCACAACAATCGACCAACAACTTATATGTTAATATACAAACAACTATATTAATACAGTAGTCAACCATATCCATACAGGTTTTAACAGAAAATGAACCGAACAACCCCTTAGTATATTACTAATCGAGACCCACAAGGCAATGCTTTAGAGCAACACTCATCCAATTCCTATTCTCGGAGATGAATTCTTTCTGCAAACATACACGGAGATAAACATAAATAAAAATTTACATTCTCATTAGCTGAGATAGAGATAGGAGAAAAATAAAGCCATCATAGCAAATGAGTAATAGGTTCACCTGTGATAACTCCAGGCTATTTGTGATCGTCCAAGAGATTAATTGGTAATTTTAAGCTGTTCCAAAAAACCCACGGTTATCTAAAGAAAAAAGGGTAAGAACCATAAAATATCATTATCATAAACACACACACATTAAAAGGGTTGGTTTAAACATGATAAATAAGAGATAAAAGGTTTACAAGTGAATGTGTTACTTCTTTATTAAATGCATATGTGAATCGGCATTACATATTATTTATATGAGTTCATATATGCATCTTTAAACGAAAAATTTTCAATGATTCACATATGATTTTTTTCCTTTAACATTTCCTTCTTACTTTCTAAACAAAAATTAGTCTTATTTGAGTATCTCACACACGCACACACACACACATACTAGAATATACTCGCATAATGCAGCGAGATACATCTCGATTTTAATGTTTTTTTTATTTTAATTGATGTTATAATACGATTTTATGTGGTTTTGAGAAAACGGTAATGTTTTTATTTTTGAATAAAATATAAATATGAAGGTATCATAAAAAATTGAAAAAATATATTGATATTAGTACTAAACTGACTATTTAAAATTTCTCATTTTTTTGGTATTTGTTTGATTCATTTTTTTTCATTTTTGGTTTAATAATAGTTAAGTATTTTATTAAAACTCGATGATAATCCTAATTATATTTTAGATATTTTATAATTAAAATTAGATGTTTATCCTCTAGATTATGTTTATTTGCAGTTAATTACACGAATTCAAACATGAAGCTTTAATAGGTTGTATTTATATACAATTTACTTGTAATCTTGAATTTTAAGTAATATGCACCAATAAACAGTATTTTATGCATAAAAAATGTTTTTTAAGAGTTTTTGTCAAATGTTTTATAATATGCGAAAAATCGTGTTGGAAAAAGATTTAGTGTGAGACACGTAAGAAAAGATTTTTACCATTGCTCACTTTTAATTCCATGCCCACCCATGAATTTCGTTTTAGAAAAGAATTGATCTGGTGCATCTCATTAATGTTGATCTTCAATTATGATTGATCCAATGATAGAGATCCCTTTTCACCCTTCTCATTATAACTTGCTTTCTGACCGAAACCCAACCATATATATATATATATATATATATATATATATATATATAGAGAGAGAGAGAGAGAGAG